CATATGTTATTTCATTAAATTCTTCTGTATGTGCCAATTCCTTTCTATACAATGACTCAGTATATTCCTTCCATCTTCTTTTAATACTTCCTGGATCATTTAATATTCTGCCCAAAGCATCCTTGATTTTTATAAATATACATGAGGAATATGAGAAAGAGAGGTAATTGGCTATCCTAAAGAAGGAAGCCAGATCTATATCTATATCTATATCTATATCTATGTGTCTTATCTTTTCAACCACTCTTATTCTTATACCAATCTTCTAACAAAGTAGAATGGACTAGTTTATGGGCATCTTGGTGAACTCCCAACCAAGGCAGGATGTTAGACACCAATAGCAATGGAATGAACACCTGTCCAGCTTGTTATATGGAATCAATGGGCCAGGAAATGTCTGTGTGGAAATTGACTTCATGTCCTTGGAGCTGCAGCACTGGTGAATAATCACAAGAATCCAGGAGGGATACCAAGGACATTTTCAGGGAGGCAAAGGGTATGTTCTCATTAAAATACTAAGAGAGGTAAATGTGAAACAATCCTTTAGATGCATCCAGAGAGCTGGCTCTTGAATGTAGAGCTCTGAGGGATAACCTTTTAGGTCTGATCTTGCTTCTGTGGTCAGGTGCAATGATTTTGAATAGAATTCTCAGTGATGACAAGGATCTGTAGTAGAGAAAGCCTGATGAGTACATACTGTGGGCCCAGCTTCCATCAGAGAGAAAAAGAGGCTCTTCATTTTGCACAAAATGCACTTTCGTTGTGTGGGGTTAATACACAGGTGACAGTGAGTCCTCAACTGACAGCTTATTTATTCTCACATCTATGATATTGGCACATGGCACAAACCACCCTGCCAAGGAGTGGCCTCCACTATGACTACTTAATAATTAGGGCCAGAGAGGGTGAGGGGTGAGTGGAACATGAGCTTTGAAGTTCTCTATCCTAGAGTTCAAACCTTGCCTCTGTCATTTCCTGGCTGTCTGATCTGACACATTAATTTTCCAAAGCCTCAGTTTTCTCTTCTGGAAAATGGAGATAATAAGCACTTGTGTCTCATAAGCTTAAGTTAACAACACAGGTAAAATGTTCCGGCAACTGTTCAACAAACAGTTGTTGCTGTTGTTAGGTGCTTTTGAGTCAAATTTGACACATAATAATCCTATGAACAACAGAAGTGAACCCTGTCCTATCTTGTGCCATCCTCACACTCCCTGACACATTAGGGACCAGTGCAGCAGTCATGATATCAAAACAGTAAATAGTAAATCAAAGTAGTTGCAGCACACAGTAAATACTTAATAAAATTTTTAGTTGATTTAAATATATCTACACTTCCCCTGCCACCCCGCCGTTTTTTGTGCTGCCTTGCTTTATGAGGTTTGATCTATGAATGGCATTTGACTACAAAAGAAAGGATATCACATACCTTATACAACGCAGATGTAGAGGCTGAGCCCACTGCAAACGCCACCCCCAAGATGGAATCAGCGTGGAAATTATCTGCATATGCCATCATGACAATGCCAGTGATGGCCATTATTGCAGCAACTATCTGCCGAATAGAAGGCAACACAAGAGAGAGAGAAAAAAAATATTATTGCCTCTGTTCCAGAGGATTCAACCAAGACTTCATCAAGTTGCTAAAAGCCTGGTCAAATCTAATTAATTCTCATACAATGGTGTTTAAACGTAAGAAAGGTCTGGCATAGACTACAAAAACTGTTCACATGTTAATTAAAGGAGTGGTAAGTTTTAGTTTCATTTTAGAGCAAATTTCTAAACATTAATTCTCATTGTGGTGAAAAAAAAATTTAATAGGAGGTTATTTCTAAGCACTTTCTTCCACACTGTCATCATATAATTCAGTAAACATTTTAATCAGCTTCATGGATCAGTGCATGCTTCTAAAGATCTCCACATCATCACGACTTGATTAGAAAAGCATAATATTGGTGCAGCTAAGAGGCAAAACTTAGGCCATGGGGATAAAAGAAAGCAAATAACCTTTTCGATGATTTATATAGACCTGAGCTGAGTCTGTACTGCCAAGAGGCCAGCTCTTCCTTCTGTTTACATGCTGATAAATTCCTTTTATGGGGGGTAAACTACAGATAGATAATTCTATTTCATTATTTTAGAGTGTTAGCTGCATAAAGAAAAATACTCATAATTCAATTGAAGCAATTATGGTTTGCTGTAAATTAATGTCACCTTTGAGATACTCAGCTCAAGAGTCCACTACCTTAGTGAAATGCTGTGTTTCTTTAATTATCTTGAACTGATTCTACCAGAACATTTCAAGGATACAGCAAACAGCAGAAACAACAACTCTGGAGGAGGGAACAATATTTCCTTGTGAAATATTATCCTTGACTTCAAACAAACTCAAGATGAAAATTTGTGAGAAATGTAAAAGGACACAGCAATTAATTTTGTTAAGCTTCAGTTCTGAGTATTCCCAAGATAATAAGCTTTCAGATAGCTTTTTCACATACAGATTTTTTTTTGAGGAGGATCTTTGTAGGCATCAATAATGAATTTATGGATTATAAGAAAATGTAGCTTTTAAATACATAACCAGAGATTCAGCTGGGGCCAATGCAAAAAGATATGCTCATGATGACACATGTAATTTAGATGTTGCTAAAGCAATTCTTTTGTTAATCGCCACCAAAACCAAGTATGTGGTTGATTTCAGAGCAGCAGCATTCTAAAGCATCTTTAAGAAAAAACAGTAGGAGTCCTTGGGTACAGACGGCGCAGCATGTCAGCAGTAAAAAATGGTCTTCATAAAACGTTATCCAGGAGGCTGTTTAATGGGAGGAGTTTCTCTGGCTGAGTGAAGATCAGATTCTCTAAAGTTGCCAGACAGTGCTCCAATTATGCTATGCCTTACACTGACTGTAGAGAACAGAAATTAATACACAGATCATGACATGTCAGGGAAAGTCTCCAAACAAGAAGTAATAGAGTCATAAATAAACATGGGGAGGAGTTATCTAGACCTGGGAATTCTGAAAGGGTTATCATTTTCTTTGATTTGAGTATTCATCATCCAGGCAGGGATTTGCAACAATTCTCTAGGTAATCTGATTTCAGAGAAATGAAAAGGTACATCAGATACAGGAATTTTCCATTTTGGTTATATATTTTAAAAACACTCACAGGTTAAAATACTCACATGGACAAATATATTTCTTTCAAAAGACGGAACTTGTAGGATGACAAATGTGAACTAATATTTGTTTTCTTTTGGTGAGGCATCAGTTAGATTTTCTTAATCATGTAAACAGGTGGTAACTTCAAGTCGGGGCACTGTAACATGATAATCCTGATGAACTTCAGCATATGTGATTAATGTGTAAAATTATACATTATCAAAATACTTTTTAGTGCTTATGAAAGTATCTGGCTTAGAGAATTGTGGAAACAGTCAATAGGACCAGAAAAAAAATACCCTAAAAACACTGCTTGAAAGAGAGGAACATAGAATGTTCCAAGACCACAATTGGAAAGTCTTCTTTTTCTGAATCAGGAGGAAAAGACAAAATAAAAAAAATATGCATGCATAATATGTCTGTTATAAATTTTCTCAAGATAGAAACTTGTATTAGCTACAGATTATATAATTTTATAGCAATTCAAAATTATAACCATAATGAGCCTTCTAAAAAGTCTCCATTACATTTTATATTTAGGTGCTTGTGAAAATATTAGCCTGAACCACTTAAATTGACATATCAGTTACACCACCGTCTGTTTCAATAGCCTTGGAAAGGACTCTTTTCCATGGTATGAATAATAATTCACAAGTTCTAAGTGGGGCTCCTATATAAGCCTATAAATTTCTGCTCATACCATGGAGAAGAATCTCTTAAAATCTCAACTATTTAGATTTTCATGTTTTAAGAACTTACATGCTATCCTTGTGCAGAGGCCATGCTAATCTTCTCTGTATCGTTCCAAGTTTAGTATATGTGCTGCCAAAGCGAGCACATGTTTTAAGAACTTAACTAACAGCATTCAATGTTTCCCTGAAGAGAAAATGTTTCCCTCCATGAAGGCAATTGAAAGAGACAGTGGTGTAATTGATATGTCAATTTAAGTGGTTCAGACTAATATTTTCACAAGCACACAGATATAAAATGTAATGGAGATATTTAGAAGGCTCACCATGGTTATACATTTGAATTGCTATAAAATTATAGAATCTTTGACCACAGACAAATATTATTTAGAGAAAACTTATAATGGATATATTATCCATATCTGTCCATCTATTCATCTAACTAACTAACTAACTAACTAACTAACTAACTAACTAACTAAGTAGCTCAGAAAAAGAATAATTCCCAACTGTGGTCATTTTATCATATTATATGGCATGTTTCCCTTATTCCAATCAGTATGGAAATTCATTAAGATCAAGACTGGCTCTGTTATTCCCGATTGAGGTAACTAGATGGAAGACATAGAAAACGAGCTGCTCAGGAAGACAAAGTAAATGATTATAATAACATGTACAAAGACCTGGAGTTCGAAAACCAAAAGGGAAGAACATGTTGAGTCTTCTTCAAACTAAAAGAACTAAAGAAAAAAATATTCAAGCATTGAGTTCTAATAGTAAAGCATTCTATGGAACAAAATACTGAATGATGACTAACCATCAAAAGAAGATGGAAGGATTAAAGAGTCACTGCATCAAAAAGGTCAATGTTCAACCATTTCAAGAGGTAGCACATGACCTACAACTGATGGCATTGAATGTGTACTGAGGACCATGGTGAAAACCAAGCTTCCAGGAATCAACGGGATATCAACTGAGGCGTTTCAATAAATAGATGCTATGCTGGAGGTGATACTCTGTTATGGCAGGGAATTTGGAGGAGAACTGCTTAGAAAACCAACCAGGAAAAAGTCATATTCCAAAAGTCATGAGAATTCATGGATACTATTAATATTGCATGCAGGTGAAATTGTGCTTAAGATGTTTACAAACTGTTGTGGCAACACACTGACTGACCCCATAGCTGACGCTCCAGTAGGTTTTCAGAGGCGGTTAATCATGTGGAAGGAGATTGCCTATCTTTCTCCTGTGGAGCAGAGGGTGGATGTGAATCATGTGCCTTCAGGATTGCAGCACGGCTTCTTACCACTAGACCACCAGAGCTTATACCTAGAGCACCAGAGCTTGATTGTGGGAATAATAAATCATGGATAGAGTACAAAACCTGGCAATTCTAAATTACTTAATTGTATTCATATAGTACTTGTACATAGACTTATAGGCAAACAAACAAGGGAACATTGCGTAGCATAAAATCAGAAAAGGCATGCATTAGGGTTGCATCCTTTGTCTATAAATATTGAGCAAATAATCTGAGAAGTGGGACTACTGTATGAAGGAAAATGTGACAGCAGGATTGGAGGAAGACCTATGAGCATCAATATGCAGATGACATAACCTTGATTGCTGAAAGCAAAGTTGGCTTGAAACACTTACTGATGAAGATCAAATACCAAAGCCTGAAGTATGGATTACACTGCAACATAAAGAAAACAAATATTCTCACAACTGATTCATACATTGCATCATGATAAACAGAGAAAAGACTGAAGTAGAAAAGGCTTTCACACCACAACAAGATAAAGGTAAATAATCCAATAGAAAAATGGGCACAGGCTATGAACAGACACTTCACTGAAGAAGACATTCAGATGGCTAACAAGCACGTGAAGAAATGTTCAAAATCCCTAGCTCTAAGAGAGATGCAAATCAAAACAACTATGATATATCATCTCACCCCAGTCAGAATAGCAAATTTAACAGAACAGCAAGCAATAAATGCTGGCGAGGTTGTGGAGAGACTGGAACCCTTATTCACTGTTGGTGGGAGTGTAAAATGGTGCAACCACTGTGGAAGACGGTATGGTGCTTTCTCAAAAAGTTACAAATAGAAATACCATTTGACCCAGCAATTCCACTACTGGGAATATACCCCAAAGAGACCATAACTGACATCCAAGCAGATATATGCACACCCATGTTTATCATGGCTTTGTTCACAATAGCAAGGAGTTGGAAACAACCTAAGTGCCCATCAACAAATGAATGGATAGAGAGCCTGTGGTATATTCACACATGGAATACTATACTGCATTGAAAAACAAGGAAATCATGCAATAGTATTAAAAATGGGTGACCCTGGAGGACATTATGCTGAGTGAAGTATCTCAGTCACAAAAGGACAAATACTGCATGATGCCACTGTTGTAAAACAGGATTGATCTTGGGGTTGGGGAGAGACTGAGAAAGATGGGATCAATAATGTATACTGCATTGAAACAGATGAGGGAGAAAACTGTTTAAAAGGGATATGTGATTAGGTAGTTTTTTCATGACAGGAGTCTACAGCAAAGGCTACATGGTAGAGTGGACCTGGGGGAGGGTCTGTAAAACAATGAAAGAATTTGTCTTTTACTTTTCCAAGAGGGTAGTGTACTAGGGGGGAGGGTTGGGAGGGGAGAAAAGTGCAACAATCAGTGAATGGA